TAGACTGAGAATAGGGGAGGTGGAAACAGGAGGATAAAGGCAGGGAAAGGGAAGATGGGGTTAAAGAAGGTAATTCAGGGAGAGACAGCAGAATTAATGGACATCTGAAGAGTAGTATGTAAACCTCATGCAATGGAAACTTCCTAAAAGATATAAAGGCAGTGCTAAAGAAGTATCCAAAAAATGAGGAAGATAGAGTAATAACTGGCCATCTCTTGTCACCAAACAAAGTTTCTGGTATTGAGATTATATCCAACTGAGTAGTTAGCCAAAGGGTTCCATGGAAATCCCCAAATAACCCAGTCTGTTACCAAGACAATACATTGTGCTCCCTAAATGCAACACAAGGCTGTATTGCTATAGACAACACCCACACAACTCATTGAACATGGAGAGGTCCAGCTGAAGCCTACACAGAACCTTCACCCCTATGTCTTATTGTCTTGGTACAGAAAGGTACTCTGCAGGCTACCAAAAGAGAAAAAGTAAACAACAATCCAGCCACAAACCTTTTAATCTACGATGCTGTCTGACTTGCAAAATATGCCAGGGAAATGGTAGCACAAAGCTTGTGAGAGTAATCCACTAATGTCTGATTTGACTTAAGGCCCATTCCACAAGATGGGTCTGCACAAGGTCTTCTTCATATGTATTATAACTTTCAGTTTAGTATTTTCATTTGACTCAAGAATGTGTGAATGAGTGGATCTCTGATTCTTGTGCCTTATTTTTGGCTCTTTTCCTTCTGATGGTTTGCCTGGTCCAAATTTGATGGTATTGTTTTTTAATTTATATTTTATTTTGTTTGTAGCTCTTAGAAACCTGTTCTTTTTTAATGAGAGACTGAAAGAGTGGATCCAGAAGTTAAGTGTTGTGGGGAAGAGCTGGAAGGAGTAAAGGGAGAGGAAACTGTAATCAGAATATATTGTATGAGAAAAATTATCTTTAATAAAAGGGAAAAATTAATGAACCTGTACATAAAAGCATATAGAAAATAAAACATGGATTGTGGTCTGGTTGGTCTGAAGTGGGAATGCAAGATTCTACATTTCTAAGAATTCAACATGGTACCCATGCCACAGGTCTAGAGAATACCATTTGTATTACAGAAACTCGGGTTATTGAGGAGTTGGAGGTAAGATAGGAGGTTCAGGTAGAGTGGGGAAATGGAGCAGAAAACTAGAAAAGATAGTCTGAACATTGTTGTTCAGAGGTCACTTCCAAAGAAAGAGATAATGTTACTTAATGAATACATAAACTGGTCAAGTCTCTTCACAAGTAAAGTATGCCAAGGTGTCTTAAGCTATGCTATTTCTCAAGATTTAAGAAAAAAAACTCTTATCCATCTTAAGCAAGAGTAACACATCTTCTATTTTAGGAAGTGCTTGGGTATGATTCCAGAGTAAAAAAAAAAGTGAACTAGGAAAGGTGAATATTAATAATGAACAGATTGGGTTGGAAAAGATATGCTCTCTATGATCCTTTCAATAATTCAGAAAGTGGGAAAAAATGTTCACTACTAGAAACAGACAAGCTAGTGAACATACTAGCATTAAAGTGTCAGTGCTCACAAGATTCAACCATAAGATAAGTAGCTCCAGACAGTTGATGCCTTCTGGGAGAGGAGGAATCAGTTTTCCTTAAAGGGGGCTGCTGGTAGTTCATCACATTCCAGTGGGTGGCCCCACTGACTACAGCACATATAGAAAAGTGTGGGCTATTAAAAAAGAAAATGACTGGGTGTTAGAAGAAAGTAAGTGGTTAGGGATGGCTTTGGAGGAGTTAGGGGGAGGAGTGGAGTGGACATGATCAAAATATGTTCATGTTTATTGCCTTAAGTGTTTGCATTAAAAACTCAGAGTGATCACAAATAGATGACATAATGATGCAACTTAAGAATTAAAAGCAATATTAAACCAAAGCCAAACCCAGTAGGTAGCAAGACATAATAAACGTTGAAGCAGAAATTAATGAAATAGAAACTAAAAAAACAATACAAAGAATCAATATAAAAGCTGGTTCGTACAGGAGATAAACAAGATTGAAAGACCTTTGGCTCAATTTACCAAAGGAAAGAGATGACTCAAATTAGCAGAGTCAAAAATGAAGATGGAACCATTACAAAAGACACCAAAGAAATTCAGAAATTACTTTCTTTTATAATTCTAGTTAGTACTCCTATATTAAAAAACGACTAGGGCTCGTGAAATACTCTGTTTTGTTTCTAATTTGAATGAGATTGCTTCAAGTCTTTATCCATTTTTCTCTATGTTGGTTGTGGGTTTGCCTTTATTATGTTGAGGTATGTTCCCTGAGGTATGATTTTACAATAAAAACTTCAGTCTTCAAAGAAAGCTTTAAATGCCTGTACTCCACTAAGTTGGAAAATCTAAAAGAAATGAATGCGTGTTTCTTACTTGTTTGAACTTCCAAGGCCAAACCAAGAAGAGACAAAAACCCGAATCAGATCCTGCTTTAGTGTAAATGTAATTGGCCTTCATAATCTCATAGGGAGTGGCACTACTAGGAGTTATGGTTTTGTTGGAGTGGGTATGGCCTTGTTGGAAGAAGTGTGTCACCGTGGGGGTGGGCTCAGGATACTTCCCTGTGGCTAAGTTGACATAATACCAGGAAGTCTGCTGTGAGACTGCGTCTCATAGAAAAGGTTGCATAAACAAGACTGGAACCATGACAATGTCAAAAGCCATGCTGACATGGAAGGGGAAAATATTATTGGGGTCCCACTCTGAGACAAAAATCTATAGGCAACTGATGACTACTGATAAGGAGAGAATTAGCTTCTTCCAGGAATCAACCCTATAGTTAGTTATCCAATACAAAAAAAGTGGTCAGTCCTAAAGCCATATACACGAAGATATGAAAAACAGACTCTCTCTCTCTCTCTCTCTCTCTCTCTCTCTCTCTCTCTCTCTCTCTGTATATATGTGTGTGTGTGTGTGTGTGTGTGTGTGTATGTATACCAATAAATCAAAGGAAAAGGAATCTATCAACTTGAGAGTGGGAAGGGTTGGAGGAAGGAAAAGGAAAGAGAGAAATGATGTACCTATGTTTTAATTAAAATATATTTAAATTAAAAATAAAGAAACCTGGACAGTCTATGGGACCTCTAACAGTGGAGCCAGTCTTCAACCCTAGAGCATAAATGGACTTTGGGAGCCCATTTCCTATGGAGGGATACTGTTACAGCCCAGATACAGCAAGGAAAGCTTGAGCCCTCCCCCAAACAATATGACAAACTTTGAAGGTCCCTGGTGGAGGGCCTCACTGTTCCAGGAGAGGAGTTGGGGGATGAGTTCGGGGTGGTAGGGAACATGGGAGGATGGGAGGAAGAGGGAATGGGGAGATGGATGTGTAAATATGAGCGATAATTAAGAATTTAAATAAAAATAAAGAAACCATAAAAACATAAGAAGAATTCTGGAAGTATAAGCTGTTGTCTCAAAATTACATTGAGAAATATTTGTTTCAATTTAATTTGCAGGACTGTAGAGATCAAAAAATGAGTCAATAACCACAAATGTTCCCCCATGGAAGAGAAAGTGTTTTACAAACTTAAGATGTGATTACATGGTTTCCTAATGTCTATATATATGCCAAAAGCAAGTATAATTTGCTCAGGTTTGCATTAAGTATGGACATGCATGCAGCCACTAAACTGAGAAGGCTCAGTATTTTGTTGGAATAAAGTATTTAAGATTTTTAAAAGCCGGCTGCCTTCATGTAAATCAAGATGAGTAATGCAGAAAGTATTTTCTTTGTAAAATAAAATTTTAAAATAAATTACCTTATTAAATTTTTTCAGGTTCAACCCCAGGGGACTCAAGATCATAAAAAGTAGAAAAACCATATCTCACCTAATGCCTCTTTTTTCTCTTCTAAAGTTGGAAGGTTTTTGTTTTTATTGCTTGTGCACATTTAAGGTTTTATTCGTACATGAGTGTATTGTATATATACAAACCCCTTTGCTCACACATCATTTTAACCTCCTAATGCATTGTGGGAATGAGCCACCTGGCATCTAGTTGAAAATAATTTCCTTTAACGAGAACCATAGGGTATTTAACAGCTTGCAGTGTGGGCATGGACTCCAGCTGTCCATTGTGCTTTACATTGACTGGGATACAGGCAGATAAAATATGTTTAGATTTTCCCCAAAGCAAATTATTTGAATTCATAACCATCTGTCTGAAAGGTAAGAACAGTTCCAGCTCAGACACACACACACACACACACACACACACACACACTTAATCCATGTTTATTTTTGAATTTATGACTAAGTGGGTCTAGTATAATCAACCTGAACCCAAAATGCTGGATGTGGATTCAGAGAAAGTAAGAACAGGGTGTGGGGGTGGACTTGAATTAAACTAGAGACTGCCTAATTCAGAGTTTCCTCTACCTGGATCCACCATGTCTGTGACCACCAACAGTGCTTCCTAGGCTGATGCAGTCTGGCTCAGACATGTCTGGTGTGCATTTTAGTTGACCTGAGAGTTCTGGAAAAGAGATTTATCTACGAAGCGACAAGGAGGTTGCCAGATTCAACAGACGTCGGTTTAACTAAACGGCATCACTTGCTGCCAGTGGTAGGTTATTTGATTTCTTTTCCTTCTAGGCTTTTCTTTTGAGGCCAGTCCAAGAATATTGATTTCTTGCATTGAAAATTTGCTCTCTCCATGGAGAATCTTATTGCTTCCCTCCAACCAGTGATTATATAAGTTTAATGGAGCTTTTTATAATGAAGGTGTGCCAGAGAGCTACAGGTTTAAATAACATTAATTTTCTCAATTACATTATTTATTTCCAAAGAATTATTGGATGTTTGGCTTTTTAATAATAAACCTTACACCTTTTATATAGAGGTAAAAGCAGAGTGAGAGAGTACATTATACTATATGCCTGCAAGTTCATTTCTGATGTCCCATAAAAATTCTTAAATTTATTTTCTGTATAGTATTATCGTGTAAGAAAATATCATGCTTGACTTGGCAGCAAACATAATGAAATTGGAATGATAAGAAAAGATTAGCATGGCTCCTTCATAAAGATGATGTCTAAAAATACGAGAAGGCTTCCATGTACCCAAAGGATGCTTAATCATATCACAAGGACACTTGCTCAGCTATATATTCATAGCAGCATTATTTATAATAGCCAGAACCTGGAAACAAACTACCTGCCCTTCAACTGAAGAATGGGTAAAGAAACTATGGTACATATACACAATGGAGTACTACTCAGCAGGGGGGAAAATGACATCAGGAAATTGGAGACAAACATTACTAAAACTCAAAACACATATAAAACCACACACACTTATAGTGGGAGACTTTAACACCCCACTCTCACCACTGAAAAGGAGCAGCAGACAGAAAATTAACAAAGAAACAAAGGAACTAATAGAAGTTATGGCCCAATTGGGCTTAACAGACATCTGTATTACATTCCATCTGAACACAAAACAATATACCTTCTGCTCAGTGCCACATGGAACCTTCTCAAAAATTGACCACATACTTGGCAACATAGCAAACCTCAACAGGTACAAAATAATTAAAATAACCCACTGTATCTTATCAGACCACTGTGCTTTAGAGTTAGAATTCAACAACAACATGAATTGCAGAAAACCTACAAACTCATGGAAATTAAGTAATGCCCAACTGCACAATTCCTGGGTCGAGGACAAAATAAAAAAAGAAATTAATGATTTCCTAGAACTCAATGAGAATGCGGACACAACATACCCAAACTTATGGGACACTTTGAAAGCAATGCTAAAAGGAAAGTTCATAGTGCTAAGTACCCACATGAAGAAACAGGAGAATAATCACAATAGAGAAGTAACAGTAAAATTGAAAGCTCTAGAACAAAAAGAAGCCAATACACCCCAGAGGAGTAGACACCAGGAAATAACCAAATTGAGGGCTGAAATCAATAAAGTGGAAACCAGGAGAACAATACAAAGATTCAATGAAAATGAAACAAAGAGTTGGTTCTTTGAGAAGATCAACAAGATAGACAACCCTTTATCCAAACTTACCAAATGGCAGAGACTGAAAATGCAAATTAATAAAATCAGGAATGAAAGGGAGGACATAACAACAGACACAGAAGAAATCCAGAGAATGATTATGTCATACTTCGAAAACCCGATTTCCTCAAAGTTCGAAAATTTGAAGGAAATGGACAGTTTTTTGGACAGATTTCACTTACCAAAATTAAATCAAGACCCAGATTAGCAACTTCAATAGACCTATAACCCCTAATGAAATAGAAGCAGTCATCAAAAGCCTCCCAAACAAAAAAGCCCAGGGCCAGATGGGTTCAGTGAAGAATTCTACCAAAAATTCAAGGAATAGCTAACACCAATTCTCTTCAAAGTATTCCACACAATAGAAGCAGAAGGGTCATTGCCAAACTCTTTTTATGAGGCTTCAATAACCTTGATACCCAAGCCACACAAAGACACAAATAAGAAAGAGAACTACAGACCAAAATCCCTAATGAACATTGATGCAAAAATTCTCAATAAAATACTGGCAAATTGAATCCAAAAACACATCAGAAAAATCATCCACCATGATCAAGTAGGTTCCATCCCAGGGATGCAAGGATGGTTCAACATATGAAAATCCATCAATGTAATCCACCATATAAACAGACTGCCAGAAAAAAAAAAAAAAAAAAAAAAAAAAAAAAAAAAAAAATCAACAAGCCTTTGACAAAATCCAACACCCCTACATGATAAAGATCTTGGAGAGATCAGGGATAACAGGAACATACCTTAACATAATAAAAGCATTATAGAGCTAGCCAACAGCCAACATCAAATTAAATGGAGAAAAACACAATGTAATTTCTCTAAAATCAGGGACAAGACAAGGCTGTCCACTCTCTCTATATCTCTTCAATATTGTACTTAAAGTTTTAGCTAGAGCAATAAGACAAGAAAAGGAGATCAAGGGGATACAAATTGGAAAGGAAGAAGTCAAACTTTCACTATTTGCAGATGTTATGATAGTCTACATATGTGACCTGCAAAATTCTACCAAGGAACTCCTACAGCTGATAAGCACAATCAGCAAATTGGCAGGATACAAGATTAACTCAAAAAAATTTGTAGCCCTACTATATACAGATGATACATTTGTGGAGAAAGAAATCAGAGAAACAACACCCTTTACAGTTGCCACAAACAACATAAAATACCTTGGGGTAACGCTAACCAAAAAAGTGAAAGACCTGTACTGTAAGAATTTTGAGTCTTTAAAGAAATAAATTAAAGAAGATACTAGAAAATGGAAGGGTCTCCCATCTTCTTGGATAGGTAGGATCAACTTAGTAAAAATGGCAATCTTGCCAAAAGCAATCTACAGATTCAATGCAATCCCCATCAAAATCCCAACTCAATTCTTCACAGACCTTGAAAGAACAATTCTCAATTTATATGGAAAAACAAAAGACCCACAATAGCCAAAGGAACCCTGTACAATAAAGGAACTTCTGGAGGCATCACCATCCCTGACTTCAAGCTCTATTACAGAGCTATAGTCCTGAAAACAGCTTGGTATTGGCACAAAAATAGATAGGTAGAGCAAATGACTTGTGTTGAAAACCCTGATATTAACCCACACACCTAGGAACACTTGATTTTTGACAAAGAAGCTAAATTTATATTATGGAATAAAGAAAGCATCTTCCTCAAATGGTGCTGGCATAACTGGATGCTGGAATGTAGAAGACTGCAAATAGATCCATGTCTATCGCCATGCACAAAACTTAAGTGCAAATGGATCAAAGACCTCAACATAAATCCAGCCACACTGAACCTATTAGAAGACAAAGTGGGAAATACCCTTGAATTAATTGGTACAGGAGACTGCTTCCTGAACATTACACATACAGGGATACTCCCTGAGCCAAGACACACAGGGGTGGGCCTAGGACATATCCCAAAGGAAATGATAGACTCTGATGAAGGCCTCACCCTCCCCTGGAGAGCAGAAAGGATATGTGATAGGTAGGATTAGTTGGTGGGTGTGGTAGGGGAGGAGGGGTGGGAGTGGCAACTGGGATTGACATGTAAAACAATCTTGTTTCTAATTCAAATTTAAAAAGTAAAGAAAAAAGAAAAAGAAAAAGAAATTTGCAGACAAATGGATGGAACTAGAAAAAATTAATTCTGAGTGAAGTAACCCAGACCCAGAAAGTCAAACATGGTATGTACTCACTCATAAGTGGATATTAGATGTAAATCAAAGATAACCATGCTATAATCCTCAGGCTCAGAGAATTAGGGATACACGGATCTCTCTAGAAAGAGGAAATAGATTAAATATGTTGAGTAAATTGGAGTGGGGTATAGAGGGGAGGAGATGGGGAATGGGCACATGAGGGATCAGGATGATCAAGTTGGGGGCTAGACAGAGAGTAGTGAAAGAGATACATTGATAGAGGATGCCATTAGGAAGAAACCAAGTGCCAGAGAGACTCCCATGAATCCACAAGGATGACCCCAGATAAGCTTCTATCAATAGTGGAGAGGGTGCCTGGACTGGCCTTCCCCTATAATCAGATTGGGGAATACCCTAATTGGCCTCATAGAGCCTTCATCCAGTAACTGATGGAAATAGATGTAGAGATTCACAGCTAAGCACTGGGTGATCTCTGAGAGTCCAGGTGAAGAGATGTAGGAAAGACTATATGAGCAAGGGGGTAGGTCAAAATCATAACAGGGAAATCCACAGAGACAGCTGACCTGAGCTTGATAGAGCTCAGTGACTCTGGACAGACCTAGCCTCTTTGCATCTGGGAGACAGGTGTGTAGCTTGGTCTTTTGTGGGGTCCATAGCAGTGGAAACGGGACCTGTCCCTGATGCCTGAGCTCCTTGGAATGTACTCCCTAAGGTGGGATGCCTTGACTGGCCTTGATGCAAGTTGGTCCTGCCTCAACTTGATTTGCCATGCTTTGTTGACTCCCCTGGGAGGCCTTGCTGCTTCTGAATGGAGACAGAGAAGGAGTAGATGAGGGAGGGCTAGAAGTGAGGGAGGAGGAAGGGGAAACTGTGGTTGATCTGTAAAATAAATAAATTAATACATTAAAAAAGAAAATATCAGTATGTGAATTGGTACTTTTGATGAAAGGTTTGTGCATGATTTTATTTATATTTTATAATAAATATATTACCTTTGATTTACATAAAATTTGTGAAGCCAGTACAAATCATTTTCTGTACTCCATACCCAGGTTCTGTGACATTTGAACATCACACATTGCATACTTCATTAATCACTACTGTTCATACTGTTATGAATTAAATTCTACTCTTTCTGAAGACTTCTTATTCTCTCTCTATATCCTCTCTCTCTCTCTCTCTCTCTCTCTCTCTCTCTCTCTCTCAGTTTCAAGTTCTGATCAAGGTACTACACTACAGGCTTCATTTTCAGGACAGGTCCACAAATATCCTCTGGGACCTTGGTGGTTTTGCTGGGCTTGGAGGGCTTGAGAAAAGCTGAAGTTTATAAAAGTTCATCAGTTGCATTTGTTTGAAAATATTCCTCATGGTTGGATTGAAGATATGAATTTGGGAGTTAGGGCCACAGAGGTGAAATGCAGTATCCATCACACCTTGTTAAGGGTACCTCCATCTACCTCACCCACCACTCCTGCTGTAGACCTCTCCTGACCATTGAGGCAGTCTCTAAATTTTCCTCATAGTGTGGTCTCTCTGTTTTCCTCTTTACTGAACTGACTAGAAGGAATTTGCTATACATAGACCACACCTGATGAATAGGTGCTTAGTTTTTCATCTTAAATTTGCTGTGGCATGGACCCCAGATATGTAGTAAGCAATTATTATAGATATCTCTGTTAAGATATCAATTTGATGTGATTGACATTAAGTAAACAGATTGCCTCTATTGCCTCATCAGCTGATGGTCATAGGAGGAAAATATTGACCTCCCAAAGCAAGGATTCGTGCTGACATGACCTTGCAACTTGTCACAGATTCCAGTCTGTTTCTAGCCTGCCCTACAGACTCTGGTTCATCAAGCCTCCAGATTTCCAAGGAGATTGT